AAATACTAAAAAATACACTAAAAAAGGAAAGCTATAGGATCATAAAGCATGCTTAAATCATATGCTGGATAAAGACCTGGCATAAAATAATGTGTCATATTTTGTATAGAAAGAAAGTTGATTTGAAAAACTTTAGTAAGAAAGTAGCTTTAAGATCTATTGACAAAACGTTAGCATTAATAAATAAATTTAGTAGGCAGCTAGATTAAGGTAATGATGCAAGATTAAGGTAATGATGCAAGAATCAATTATATTTCTCTAAGCCATTAAGAATAAACTAGACAATAAAAATTTAAGAAGACATTTAAATAAAATTCAAAGATTGCACAGTAATTTAAATTTGTAAAATATGCTCTGATTGAATTTTCTGAAACATAAGATACATCATCTAGTTTCCCTTTATGTGAAATCACTATTTTGGAGAATACATAATTTGTCTTTAGAAACTGTCAGACCTTGACTTTCCTATATGATTTCAGCTTCAATTCATTCTTTTAATAGCACTGTAAAGTGATCACTTACCTAGATACGTGCAGCAAAATTACCTACGAGGCAGCAAGTGAGCAATGTTTCTGCCTCTTCAGTAATTGCATATTAGATATTTGGAATTCCAGAAGCACGATTTCAGCTTCAAATAACCTAAACGAAATGTTGACTATACAGATCAATGTTGCTGTGAACATTGAATATATAAAATATATTATATATATTATATATATATCATCTCCATACTACAATGTCTGCTTCAGATAATGACTATTTTAAGTAATGTTAATATATAACCCAATTCCAAAACAAACAATGGGGACCCCCCTTGAATTCATGATGAGACCTAATTACTATATAATGAAACCAACATGCTGAGCCTTGGATCTTGGTTTCAGTCTAGCAATTAACTATAGGGGTGCGTCTCTGGGATTCATTTCTCTATGCAACAAGGACAGCTGAGTTAGAGGAGGGCTCAGTCCTAAATCCTGTGACTACAATGGATGTAGGTTCATTCCTGAACATAGATTTAATTCTGAGATGAAGTGAACAAGCCCCTTAGGGACCTTATGGTGTCCTGCAGTTAGTAAGGGTGGCAGGGGCATTACTTTGCAGCAATTCCTACGCTCACAATACAAAAGAACTACTATTGGGAATTCTTCATAAGTAATTAGCAACCCAAACTACTTACGAAATAAAAGTGACTCTAGGATAATATACAAAGTACAAACAAATTTTTTAAATATAGATTTTTAAAACTTAAAAATACCTCTCAGAAGAAGAAAGACACATCACATACAGGTACAAATTCCTTTTGTTGAATGTTATCACTATGTATCTCTAACGTGTACCAATAATGCTTTTAAATACACAGACAGACACAGTCCCCAGGAGCACAAATCTAGCAGAAATTGAATTTTCTTCTCTTTAACTATAAACTCTTACGGCTATCTTTAAATTCCCGCCAAGAATTCTTAGAATAACCCTGTACTTTACTCAGCCTACAGCCCTTCAAGGGTTAGATGCGCTACAGTTACACTCGCTCTCCTGGGCTCCAGGACAGGTCTCAAGCGCTTGTCTTTACCTCCTCACTGCACCTCAACAGTGTGATGACTCTGCCCCGTTGAGTATGCATTTCTCCTCATAATATGGAACAAAAATATGAAATCAGGGCCTTAGCCGAATAAGGACTTTATCTGGGAACTTTGGATTGTTAAGTTTATGCACTGAAAATCAAAGGCTCAAACATCTTCCATCCTTTCAATACACAATAAGAATTCTTACGAGCAAATCCATAGTTACTTGATAGCCACCTCTAAAAATCACAGTCTTACCAATATGTAACACAGACATACTCAGATGTTTAGATTTCTTTTTTCAAACTATGTCAAAACAAAAGAAAGGAAAAACTACAGGATGTTGGTCTACTTAGTTGTTTTATAAAATAATTGCTGAGACATTAGTGAAACTGCACCTTTGTGGGGCCCACTGAACCTGCTCTGTGTACAACATGCTTCCCAGTGGTGCCTGGCCAAATCATAGCACTCTGATGCAGCAAATGTTTGAAACACTCTAGGAAAATACATGTTTGATGCTCTATTCTATATTTAATATAACAGTGTAAAAAACTGCCTTTAGCCCTACATTGGTAGATATTTCGGTCCTCTAAGTGGCAAGGAAACACACTGAAGCAGTCACATGCAAGGACTTCTTGTCCTCGTGACCATCAGCATGCACAGGACACAGCCAGGCAGGATTAACCATCGCCAGCTAAGGCACAGCTCTAACCAAAACATGGGTACAGCCCCAACCTTCAAGAAGTTAACTACATATAAGTCCCTTCCATCAACAGATGAATGAATAAAGGAAATGTGGCATTTATACAGAATGCAGTACTACTCTTCCATAATGATAAATTGATTCTTTTGTAGGAAAATAGATGTACCTTGAGTCCATAATTCAGACACAGAAGCTTAAATATCACATGGTTTCTCTTATATGAAAACCTAAAATATGAATGAAGAGCAAAATAAAAACAGGACTAGGAACAACAGGAAATAGGAAGACAGATCTTCTGTAAATGGAAAAGGGAACAAGAGACAGGGGCTGGAGGAGGGAGAGGATGAAGAAAGACTAGAGATGTGTCATGTACATGGGTCCCCCCACATGAACATGATCATTACATACTGCAAACATGTACCAGTAGAGAAATGAAAACAGGAAAAAAGTTAACTACACACAAAAATAACTACTCATGATTAAATAATTTAGCATTTACAAGTGAACCTCATCAACCCAGACTGATAGAAAAATAGAAATCAAAGCACTTCTTGAAGATGTATCCTTCAGATTTTCAACACAGGTTAATAAAGAATCTTTAGCCACCCATTCCCTTTAGGCTGCCCAAAAACTGTTTTCTTAGTTATGAGTAGCCAAATGCAGACAACCAAATAATATAAAAAAAACTCAGAGCATTTTCTTAAAGTTACTTTTTACCTTATTGCATGGAAATATAAATCTTGCTCCTGTGACAAATGCAAAATTGAGAAATCTGAATTAACACAATGGACCATGTCGCACCTGGAGAAACGAGCGTGGCCTTCTGAATAGTCTTCAGGGCAGTGTTTCTCTCAGCTGCCGAATCGCTTCCCATCGCCAACTGGTTCACAGCAGTGAACAGCAGCGCCTTCTATGGCAGAAAAGCAAGTGTGTCAGCCAACTCCCTCACAGCCCCTGCTTGCACGCTGACTTAAGATCCCTGTTTCGTAGGGAGTGACCCCTGAAGCTATGAGGAAAATCATTTTATTGTTTTGGCAGTATTTTTTTTTCTTTCCTTTTTTTTTTTTTTGGTAGAACCGGGGAAGCACTTACTCTACTGAGCCATCTCCCCAGCCCATTGGAGGTATTATTTAACAAGGTGAATACTTCTTTACACTGAGAAAACTTACCTTTCCATGATTTGAATCCAGGATATGAGCCACGTTCCCTGCTACAGCACCCCCCTGCAAGACAAAACATTAATTACTTAGACAAAGGCAAATACCTGCATGAAATAGTAGACATTAATACCAAGAAAATCTACCATTAAATCACTTGAAAGGTTCAGTTTTATCATATAACTCTTAACTCCTTGAATATCCATTTATTATTACTATTTGTAAAGACCAGGGTATTTTTGCAAAATAAAATAAAATACAAGAGGAAAATGTTTAAAACACCAGCTTAATCATTTCAACTTTGCTACTGAAATATTCATCCAAGGTTCAAAAGTTACAGGGGCATTGTGAGACACATCTTTTAGCAATATAAAAAGAGACTATGGGACAAAGAGAGAGAGGGAAGAGATAGCAAGACCACAAAGATGAGCTCACATTGTTTTGCTTCATGAAAATACATAATATTTTACAAATCTCCATGGAACCTAGTAAGATCAGTAATGAAATTTCAGAGCACTATGAAGCTTATCAGTGATCAACTCAATCCTAAAGATAAAAATGTACAAAGTATCCACAGTTTTCAGAAAGTCAATTTGACATCTGTAATTAAAAAAATTCAATTAGACATTCTACTGGATAATGAAGTGAATTATAAAAGTACTGTATGTGAGGGTACACTGTACCTTTCAAATACTATAAGAAGTGTGTCAAAAATGCTTTCAAAACTGTACTTTGAACATAAAGGTTACTAAGAACATAAGCTTTAAATTTTAGAAATCTATCAATAAAAAGCAAATGTAGATGAATTGAGAAGAAAAGCAACACAGCAGAGTGGAAAGAGAATCTACAACAGAAATTCGACCCAGGATCCCCGCCCAGAATTGTCATTACTAACTCATTTTGTAAGAGTTACTTTAAATTCTGCCTCAAGTTTCCCACTCTCTGATGTGGAGACAATGTGGCCAATAACTGCTACCTCCTATGACAGTTAAGATAAGAACAGAAAGCATATAAATGTTCACCATGGTACCTGGCACATTACCTAGTAAAGATAGCATTCTGGTTCTTTGAACCAATTCATCCGTTAAAAGTAACTAAAAACATGAGCTAAAACATTGCCACTCAGGGCCAGTGAGATAGCTCAGCAGGCTGAAGTGCCTGCTTAGGCAAGCTTAAGCAAGCGCAGGGAACACAGTTTGATCCCAGGTACCACATGCCACACCCCCAGAGTGGGCTGAGATGGCCACAAAAAAAATAAAATAAAGCATTGCCACTCAAACGACTGCAGGTGCACTAAAACCATCAAGGCACCCTTGGAAGACAGAAGTTATAAATGCAGAATTTTGGGGCCCACCCCAGACTGCTGAACTAGAATATTCACTTTTAACCAGGATTACTTACTAGATAATGTAAATTGCATATTATTGAAAAACATATCTTAAAAATATATTCTCAAAAGCACTGAATCACTTATGTTATTAAAAACCTAGGCCAAAATTGAAAGGGAAAATTAGAGGGCCAGTGAAATAGCTCAGTGGATTAAAGCGCCTGCAAGCAGGTGCCGGGGCTGGAGGGGCTTGATCCCTGGGCTTGCCCATCTGGCCCCGCCCCTGGGGCGCGATGAGAGGGCAATTGAAACTGGGTGTGGTGGTGCGTGCCTGTAATCCCCGCTCTTGGGAGGCTGTGAACTGGAGAATCACTACGAGTCTGATCTAGTAGTGAGCCCCTGAATACCATGTAGACCCTTTCCTAAAATATGGAAAATTAGAAACCAGAGATAAAAGTGAGCAAAAAAGGCCATTTCTGCCATGTGTAGCTCCTAACAAATTTTAATTTTCATCTTCAAGGGTCTCATGCGCTGAAGGGCAAAACTAAAAGTTCCACGGCCCACACAAAGAGGCAAGTATATAGGACTCATACTAAATAGGCTAAGACTACCAGGGCTCCTCTCTCAGGTTCAGGGGGACTCAGAATTAAATCTGGTCTCAAACAACCTTGCATCTAAGGCAGGCGCAGAGTAGCCTGGTTAAAACAGAAACCTGAAGTTATAAATGAGCAAATTTTCGAAGCACCTTCACAGAAGCAGGTACAAATTAATCCTGGCCTTAATCCCAGGCCTCCAATTATTCCTACTAAAATGTTCGAATACAGTTAGGTTAACAAAGCCAGCAGAAGTGAGAACCAGTGGGAACAGACACTGAGCCACAAACACTTCCGCTAGAGGGATTACCGCACGTGACTTATCCAAAACACACTTAGCTACCACCATCATGCGTGCCAACTCATTACGTGATGTATGAAAGGTCACAAAGCACGGAAGTTATCACATGTCTGAAAATCTCTGACTACCATTAACTAAAATCCAACATTATAACACTTTAGAGAACATAAAGGACTTCAGATTTATACTTACATTTTGGACATTAGCAGCGTTCCAGTTCTTAATGTCATATCTCTAAGAAGCTTTTACATAAAATTATCTTTAACAATTTAAAAACACAAGAGCTCATGTCTCACACACTACCACGCGGGCATTACCACAACCTGCATGCATTCAGAAAGGTCT